CCTCTAGGGGGCAGTGCCACTTTTGATGGGAGATGAGCATAGACTGTAGGCAAATAAGAAAAAGCTAACGGTTCTATGAGAGAACATGTCGCCGGTGAGACGCAAGTCCAGGAAGAACGGAATAAGGTAGAAACACATTTTTTTTTCCTGATGAAAGAAGAGAGTCTACTCTTTCTTTTGGTGTGTTCGGTGTTTACATAGTCATAGCACAAACTATTCTGTGGCTCTAGAAAAATCAGTCAAAATGCTCAAATAACTCTGGCAGTATGGGACTCTCTGTTCTGAAAATGGCTGCCAGTCGATGAGTTAACTGGTACTAATCTAAAGAGCGTTGTTAGCCCAGAAAGCTAAACGCCTCTGAAGGATTCCAGATGAGGGATGAGAGGCGTCTTCCTGCTGGGAAACGGTGGTTTGATCCAGAATCTCTCAGCTTGAGAGGGAATAAAAGGCTCCATCCAGCTGTAATGGCTGCCCCACTTTGATCATCCTCAAACCCACACAGGAGCCCCTCTTTGGCTCCTCTGACCCCTTATATTTTGATATTTTACGTACTTTTTATTGAACATTTTCAAAGTTGAAAGGATATTAGAACTATAGAATAGAATAGAACTATATACTATTACAGCAAAACCTCTTTTTCGAGGCTTAAATATACGAATTTTCCAACATCCAAAGAGAAATTGGATTAAATATTCTACTTCAAACCGGAAGGAAATTTCCTACATATGTCGAAGTCATAGAAAAATATATCAAATAGAAAGATTAAATCAATAAAACTAGTCTAAGTTGGTTTAAAGTTCCTGTGTAAAGTCAGAGTGAGTTAGGGTTGGTCCTGTATCTCAGTCTCCACCTCTACCTCCGTTTATTGATTTTATTAAAAGTCCCTCCAAAGATGGAGGCTAAAGCAGGTTTTGATAGTTTTATACCTTCTGCTGCACATAAAAGCATCAAAGGACCTTCAGGACTAACTTTCCTGCTTCTAAATAATAATTTCGCTGAATAATATTGTCTAGATACATTTATGATAATTTATAGCTTGAGAATAAAATGAGAAAGGGAAAGTTAGCAAATAAAAAGACGAACCCATAGATTCCTACAGGTCCTTTAACCCCTGAAGTCCCTGTTTTAAGGTGAAGAAAAAACATAGAAATAAATGTGCTTTAAAGGCTCTGTTCAGCCCACCTAACTTTAACCCTATAAAGCCAAATGTGTCATATTTGATCCGGTTTCTTTTGGATGTGAGACTTTCTGCATCATTCAGTGGTAAAAGCTTTGCTCAAACCCCTGTTGTACACATTCAGATATACCTGATAACAGCCAGTAGAAGACCACACCAACATATATTTTTGACTTATTGCACGCTAATTTGATCAAAATAATTTCTGTTTTTTTCTTCATTTGTTGTTGAGGGGCCAAAGAAAGACTTCAGACTAAAAAAAATCCAATATTCTTCCTATTTTTCTTGGATCAGGCTTTAAAGGGTTAAGTAAGATCCCGTCTCCCTCTGAACCCGAGTCCTCGTGTTTTAACGTGTTTCCGTTCCTGGATTCGTGGCAGCGATTGACCCTCAGCATCCCTCCTCCCGTTACCATAGCGATTCCCCTGCGTAACCAAGCAACCTGGCATCACCAGTCTGAAGTTACTCACCGTGTCAAGAAGAAGAAGAGGAAGAGACAGTTGTGGTGGATTTTTCTTTCTTTTAAAAGGTTTAGATTGTTCTTATTCCTAAACGGTTTAAAAACAGGGACTCTGCTCCGACCCCGGTTGGTCCTTTGGGTTTTCCCGCCTGTTTTCCATATTTCCATCTCCATTTGGATCCGCTGGAACTGGGAAATATGGAAAACTGGGTTTGGGGAACTCTGTTTAAGAGCTTTTTCACCATAAACACACAAACAGAGACTCTAGAGGTTTGATGGCTGTTAGAGAAGGGGAGCAAACTTTTAGCTCTTTGACCGGTCTTAAATTACCATTATTTGTAGGGATAGACCTATATATACTCTGTGTGTGTGTGTGTGTGTGTATATATATATATATATATATATATATATAAATGAGCTTCAGATCTGTCTGCTTAAAAAAAGTTTAGAGAGTCATACAGTCAGTGAATCATTAAAAAAAATATATTTAAAACTAAATGTGTATGTATTATACACAGATTACATATATACTTTATATCTTGAATCAAACAATTATGACGATCTTATAGACACTTTAAGTTCTTCGAAAAAAAAGTTATTTCTTTATCAAAAAGCTCCAGTAATTTTATGATGGATTTATTGTCCAATTTAGCCTAAAATGGCTTTAAAAAACAGGCATAGACAAAGTAAAGTAAGTCTGCCTACTGTCAGATTAATTATATCATATCAGACGAGCTGTT